ATTGGCCTGATCCAGAGCTATGTGTTTGTCTTGTAGAACTCCCCGACTGACAGCCTGAATTGGATTCATGGTATTTTTCCCTGGAAGAAATGCTGGATCCATACCCACATTGTTCATAGTCAGAAGACTCTCCAGATCCAGTCTCTAGGTGACTATGGCTAGTATGCTTTCCCAAGTGAGACCTCTCGTGACCAAAGACAGAGGACTGACCTGTGCCAGAGCCATGCTTTTGTCTTCTGTCACTTTCTGATGAATTAGTATAGCTGCTTCTGTGTTTTCTCTGAGTAGAGGACCGATAGGAGCTTGATCGATTTTTGTCACTGCTTATGGACTTGCCTGATGCAGACCTATATTCTTCATTGCTTGAGGACTGTCTTGATCCAGAACCATATTTTTGTTGTCGCCTGTATTCTGATATACCACTTGAGGTTGATCTAGGTTGCCTTTGACTAGAAGAATGACTGAAGCTAGAGCCCTGTTTTTCATATCGTGATGACTGATCTAAATCAGATCCATTTTGGTCACAACTTGATGACTTGTCTGAGCTAGATCCCTGATTTTGTTTTTCCCAACTCCTTGACTCACTTGAGCTGGATGTATGTCTTCTTTCACTAGGGGGATGACCTGAGCTTGACCTATATTTTCCATAACTGGAAGAGTCACTTGAAGTGGAATAGTATCCTTGTTCTTCACAGTTACCTGATTGAGATTCTACATTTGGTTCATGCCATCTCTGTGGAGAGGGCTGGCCTGAGCTAGACTCATTAGCATAACCAGAATGGTCATTTGAATTTGAACCGTTGTCTTGTCCTTCATAACTCCCTGAGCTGAATCCATGATGCTTCCTACCAGAGGACAGGCCTGATTTCTTATTATGTTGTTTATTCCCTAAAAATTCTTTTGGGTTGGCTCTTTCTTGCTTATTGTTTTCACTATGCTCAAAGTGGCTTGAACTTGACTCTTTCCTTTCCCCAGAGCTTTGCCAGTGCCCAGAATTAGACAAAATTCCTTGTTCCTTCAATTTTCTGGATGTGAACCTAGGCCTGTGTTTAATGTTTCCTCTGGAGCTCTTGGAATAGGAATTATTCTCTTCTGCACTTGAACTTGAATAATTGGAAGAGGATTCTTGCCATTTGTCTTTCTCTTCTTCTGTTTCACTCTGTTCCTCTTGGTGCTGGTGACTGTGATCTCTCTGCTTCGACCCTGAAGCTTGGCAGTAGTCTTTGCCAATGATTTTATTACAAGCCTTAGTCAACTTGAATATCATCAGAAGATATTCAGTAAAATCCACTTTGTTGTTGTGGTCTTGATCCAGACTTTGCATGATGATATCTACAGTGTCTGGATCATTTGGATTCTGTATAGGAACAAGGTACAGAGGGCAGCTCTGTCAGTATGGACTACACACTCAGTTAACCAACTGAAGGAAAACTGTAGAAATTTGAGTGGTTGGCATATTTAGGTGGAGCTCAACCATGTAGTCCTTTGGGCTAGATTACTCCCAAAGCGAAAGGAATATGCAATGAATAATGCAGAGAGAAATAGTTAGAAGGGGATACAACTGAAAGATGAAAGGGAACAATTATTGTTGGTAGAAGAATGGTCAAATAGAAACATTTTGGATTCCCATATTAATCATATGTGACTTTTCTTTATATGTCAAATTTAATAGTTAACTAATTAATTTATTAATTCAAGAAAGATTTATTGTATACTCTTATCTGCCTAGCATTATTTTATATGAGGAAATAAAGCAGTAAACAAGTTTGGATCTGACAAAATGAAATTTAAAGTTAAGTGGGTCAGATACACCAACTTATAATTTATTGTAATAAAATTTCTATGAGTAGTATCAGAGGGTAACCACTCAGAATCCAAGAAAAGTTAATGAGAGGATGTGTTGCCTTTTGAAGGAAGAATTAAAATAAGCCAAATGAAGGGATAGAAAGGAAGGAAGAGGGTGCAAAAGATTCTTCCAGGCAGAGGGAATGATTTGAACAAAGGGCTAGAGGTGAGAGAAGGTATGGCTCATTCAAAGAACTGAAAGGAAATCCAGATTGCTAGATTTAGAGTTTGAGGACTCAAGAGATGTGACTAGAGAGATATCAGGTCTTGTTTATAACTTTTAAGCCATGTTAAGAAGTTTAGGACTTTAGATTATGAGCAGATGGGAGCTGTTGGAGGATGTTGAGTATCAAATGTTGAGATTGGAAGTAGGAAATGGCTTGAACTAGGGAACTAAGAATAGTGATGGAGAGAAATGGGCTGTTTTAAAATCTGTAGATGAACTAGATGGAGGATGGAAGGTGGTGCTGCCTGCTGAGGATGAGGAAATGAAGAATGGCACCAGGTTTCTACCTTGGGCAAAAAGAAGGAAGAATGAGTTTAGAACGGAAGACGATGAGATTCATATCTGACACCTGGAATTTAAAACATCTAAAAAATTCCAAATAACAATATTCAGTAGGCAATTAAATTTAAGGAGTTGAAACTGAAGAGCTAAATTTAAGTTCCCAAACAACTTATTTCTAAAACTGACAATTTTAAAGTGGTGCTCATTCTTTTTAGTGATTTAGGAGTACCAATGTTCTGAATTTAGAGGCCTTATGGTACCAGAATCTTAGAAATGAGCAGTGGTCTAGACATTTCAAAATGAAAAGACAAAGGGAAGGAGATGCATGTCAACTACTTTGCAATTTTTCTGAGAACCATAGGTAGGACATTTTAATATAGGATATTACACCCATAGATAAGACATCTAAAAATCTATGTATGTTTTCTATTGTTAAGTAGGTTTATTGACTTTGGGTCATGTTATGGAAAGCATATGGTTCAACTTTTGATGGTACCTCAATCCTACCAAATCTAGTTCATTATTACCACGTAGGGTGAATTCTCTAGGATGTTTGGCATATATGACAAAAAGGCAGGAAGTAATGAAGAAGAGAACTGCTAGAAATTTCAGTCCTAGCATGGAGTTCTTACCTTCAGAATTTGGTGAAACTCATTTTCCAAGAGTTCTTTCAGCTCTGCCTTGTTTAACGTGTCACAGTCCCCATGTTGGGTGGTATATTGGTAGAAAACATCAATGACAGTGACAATGCCTTGTAGGAGTTTAGACATCTTTTTTTTTTTTTTCAAATTTAAGTTAACCTAAGGGAGGAAAAATATTATTATTATTCTTTCTTATTTAAACATATAAATAGGTCCAATTATTTTAGTAATTATCAGTCGTGATTAATTTTATCCTGTTGTAATCAAGAACTAATCCAGAATTGAGCAACTTGTTCAAGCCACGTAGCAAGAGAGTGATGAAATCAGGAATACAATCCATATCTTATTTCCCTTCCCGAATGAATGTAGGAGCAAAGACTTTCTGTTTTGGACTCTCTGCTTTTAGTAAAGAATATGAGCTTTGTTCTGGAGCTATAGAAATTCCGTGTGCCAATTCTTTCACTTACTAGTTTGTTGTGTGTGTGTGTGTGTGTGTGTGTGTGTGGTGCTGGGGATTGAACCTTGGGTCTTGTGCATATGAGGCAAGCACTCTACCAACTGAGCTATATCCCAATAACTTATTTATTTATTTATTTTTAAATAGGTCTTAGTCATCACACTTTAAGAGACAAGTCTATCATCTATATGGTGTACCTAACTACAGCTAAGGAGCTTCTGTAGCTGAACTGGACCCTTAAGACATCTAGACAAGGGAAAGTAGACATAGTGGACAATGCCAACCACAGGCCTAGGTAATAAGTAGCTGGGGTGTCTGCTATCAGATTTAGCTTTTGTTTTTATTCTTCAAGCAGTCACTGACCTTTAGGCCATACTGGTTGTTCAATGGAGAGAAAAAGCTCAGTAGTAAAAGAAACAACCAATCTAATGGATAACTAGATTCCCATGATCTTAATGAAAGATGTCAAAGAAATGAGATACTATTATATAGAGTTTAGTTGTTGCTTTATTTTCCTTCTCAATAAAGTTAACTTATACCAAAGTTCCCAATAGTATACTAAAAAGAAGACTGGTATCCAGTGCCTCTTTGCCTTAAAGTATATCCTGGGCTTTCATAATTTATAGTCCTAAGTACCCGTGAGTAGAAGAACTTAATCCCTGCTCACTTACCTAGTTCACCAGAGGAACAATAGGAGGGAGACTGAAGTAGCTTGCAGGGTGCTTCTAGTTTGGGGATAGAGGCCCTTTTATAATGAAAATAATGGTCACTTTAGGGAGGAGCTGCACTCTTTGAGATGTCCTAATTCACTCCTAAACAAGTCCTGCTCCTTTTCCATCTCCACCTCCCAGATGATTACCTTCTCACTTCCTTACATGTTCACCTGAGATTGCAATAGCAGTTCCCAAATCTGGGCTAGTATCAGCCCCACCTGCCAAAATGTCAGGACACTTTGCAGAAAGGCCTCTGTGTATTCACCCAACTATGTAGCACAGTGCATTGACAACAACAAAAAATTGTGCAGACTTTAATGGAAGTTGGATGGAGTATATGCAGGTACTTCAGGGACCAAATGTCAAAGAATCATGGAATTAAATGTTCAAAAGGAACTTTAAAGATCATTTAGGGGCTGGGGTTGTAGCTCAGTGGCAAAGCGATTGCCTTTGATGTGTGAGGCACTGGGTTTGATCCTCAGCATCATATAAAAATAAATAAACAAAAATAAAGATATTGTGTCCATCTATAGCTAAAAAATATTTTAAAATATCATCTAGTCATACTCCCATTCTAAGCTAAATTTTCTTATATGAGATTCTCAGTCAGGGTGTTATCCATGATTTTATTATTACCTCTTGGAATGTATAATGGCTGTAGAGGCTCTCCTTTTCATCTGTTTAACTGACTCAGTTTATTTGACATTAGTGACCATTCATCATTGTAGCTTTCATTTGAACAGCCATATAACCTTAGAAAGAAAGGCATGTTCTCATGCACAGTGTTCAAAATCCCTCATGATCTGGATTATGTCTTCTCTCCAACCTCCATTTTCCTTTCTCCAGATTCTCCTTTTTGCTCCACTTGTAATTAACTATTTCCACTTTCCTGAATGTACGATATTACTTAATATTTTTTCTTAGAATACCTTTTCTCATTATCTGCCTAATGAAATATTAATTCTTCAGAATCTACTTTAGCCTCTACCCTGTAGGAAAGTTTTCTTGGATTACTCAAGAAAGAGGTATAAATGATAAATTTGTTCATAATTTTGTAGTTATATTAGTTACACTATATTGCAATCTTTAAAATTATCTTATTATGCAATTGATATATATTATAAAAATTAGAAAACATTTTGGTAAGTGAAGAAAATTAAAATATCTGTAAATATACTAGCCAGAAATAGCTACTATTAATTATTTGTCTCTCTTTTAATTATTTGATTAATTATTTTTTCACACATACATATTTGTTTATATGCTTATGTACCTTCCAGACTATGTGCTTCTTGAGAATAAGGAATAGGCATTATTTATCCTAGTATTACTTAGAGACCCAATGTATTACTTGGCACATAAAGGTGTCCAATTAATGTCAGTTTGTGTTGAACTGAAAGAGGAACAATTTCTTGACTAATAGTCCTCTATATTGACTAATTTCTACTTTTTTCCCAGCCTGCTCTTTCCATATTTATCTCAGAAGACATGATTTCACCTGAATATAAATAGAATCTTAGCCTTGGTAATCAACAAATGGCTCTTTGCTTATCCCTGAAGGCAATGCTCTGCATTTTATCCATTGTGAATGTATAACACAAATTTTAACTAAAGATGAGTGAAGTTACATAGACTTAAAACTTATTTGTGCAATATGGTCATCAGAGTTTGAGAAGGAGCGGAAGAAACTATTGGCAAATGATAATTACAGGATTTCAAATTCTGTCATCATTAGGCTATGTGTTTTCTTCTAAGAACTACCCAGAGGGAGGTAGAGTCAGTATTCATTCTGTAGTCTGTTTCCTTTGGATGCTTGATTTGGGCCAGGTTGTTGTGCTTCATCAGAGCAATGACCTTTTTAAAGGTGTGACCAAGACTGTAGGAGTGAAGGGGAGGTGGAATTTGCTGAGCAAAGACTAATTTCCTGGAGGAGTGAGCTGTTGTCTTAGAGAGAGGAAAGGGGTTGCAAGTAAAGACTGCCAGGTGAACATGCCCTTGATAGCATTCTCCTAAATGAGAAGATCAACAACCTTTTTCTATAAAGACTAGCTAATAAATATTGATAGGATTTGTGGGCCAGATGGTCTTTCTTGCAACTACTCAACTAACTATGCTGTTACAGCATGAAAACAGCCATAGACCATATATGAGTGTGATTGTGTTTCAATAAAACTTATTTATGGAAATTGATCTTTAAATTTTATACAATTTAACATGTCATATTTTTCAACCAGCTGCAGATGTAGAGAACATTCTTAGCTTATGGCCTAAAGTTGATGATAAGTTTGAGATAGCCTATTACTTTCTGCTCCTTTATTTACTTTTCAGGAAGATTCTTCAGGAGATGAGAATCTCACAGGTAAGAGAAGGACTGGAAAGTGTGGAACATCAGAGACACTCATTTTTTGAGAGGTAACAGGACACATATCTGTTTGTGAATATTGGTATGTGGGGTAGTAGGTTTATGATTTCTCTGGTATATATTCCACAGTTTACAGGGTTGGCATGAAGAGTTTCCCATCATAAGTTTGGTTAGTGGTTTTTCCCGCTCAAAACATTTGGCTTTATGAGAAAATATTTCTTTGATATGTTTGACGCTCAAGATTTCTCAGTGCCTCCTTTCCATGTGTTGGCAGAAGAAGGGAAATTATGCTCTCCTTTTTGCCAACCACAGCGCTCTGTGTGCTGATGTACATCATTTCATTAATCTTCATAACAATTTCATGACTTTCAATTCCATTTTGCAGATGAGAAAACTGAGGCTCAGAGAAAATATATAACTTGTTTTGTATCACTTAGGTTTTAAGTGGAGAAGAGAAGATTCAAACTTATCTGCTTCTTTCTAGGAATATCTAGGTTCTCATGCCATCTTTGAATACTCACTGTTTCCTGATTGTGTGGATGGCAGAATGATGTGCCTATAGCACCATCTGCTGAGTCTAAGGGAAATTCTACATATATTTTTTTCTTCTTTGCTCTTTCTGTCCTTTCCCCCACATCTTCCATGTTACTTCTGAGAGTTCTTTGTAGCTTAGGCCCTATGAAAACACAGACACAGACACACACACACACACACACACACACACACACACACACACTCTTACTATTGACGGTCATGATTAAAAGACAGTGCATACTTGTCTTCCTTGGCATTCTCATGTGTTATGTTTAAATTTTAATAATATTATATCAAATTTTTTATTGTTGGGGATCAATTAAAGTGTTAAGCTGTATGAAATTTCAATTTTGAAGTTTCTACCCAATTTGATCTTTCATATCACTGATACAGATATATATTAGGTTTGATAGTATCATCAGATCACTGTGACCAATTATAATATCTTAGAGTTATAGATAGAACTTCTAAGGCTCTTCTTTCAGATATAGAAATTGCTAATAACAATCTATAAATTTTTATAAATGCATTTTACTTTTTCTGTTCAATTACCCAATTTTATGAATGATAAGACTGGAAAATGAACCAAATAGGCAGAGAATTAAGGATGGAGTGTTGGAGAACAAAACATCCATGTGCAGGCTGTGGTAGAGGAACCCCCCCAAAAGCCTGAAAGGGTACGAAATCATATTGTAAAGGTTTGAAGTGTAAATGGAAGTAGGGGAGTTAGAGACAGAGATTCTCATGGCAGGATCCTTGATTTTCTTCTGTATTGGGTTCTGAGGATCACTGGGCAGATTCATAATGTTGATTGGTAGTTCTGTGACCTATATGAGACCCCGAATATCTGAACCTGTTTATTGATTAGCCATAAGTAGATTCATATTGTTTTCTTGAATTGGACTTGTGCCATCCATGTGTTGGTTCTGACTCTGTGATCTTCCCATTGTCTTTCACTATCACTGTCTTGACTAATACTGGGTTTCTGATGTTTTCTTGTTGTAGATTCAGTCTGTATAGATGATTGTCTATGAGATGACCTAGATTGTCTATAAATAGACTTCATATTTCTCTAGTATTGGGATTACATTCTCTATGAGTAGACCCAGATTGCCTATGAGTAGATGTCTACCCTTCATAGAACCCTGGGCTGTCTTCTGATTTCCCATGCTGAAGTAATCTCTTTCTCTTGTGCTAGATCAAACTCCCTATGGCCATGCCATGCCCAGACTTATCAGGGAAGAAAATGACTCTGTTTCTCTGCCTTTTGATTTTCCTTTTGGGTCTGAACTGACTATAACTAGATCCACTTTGTCTACTTATGTTGGTCTCAGTCTGTGTAAATGACTGTGTGTGAGTAGACTGTGAGTATTCATAGCTGTCTCTTATTTGCCCATGGCTAAATTGTATACTTTTGATGCTGGATTTTGGCTATCCATGTGTAGGTCCAGATTGCCTTCCAATGTATATCTGTTCTTGATAACGAGTCTGAATGTCTAGACCCGTCTTCTGACTCTTGTGTCTCAGCTCTCTATACTCTGATTCAGTCTATCCATAGATGGTGAATTTCTACACAAGTTTCCTATACTACTATCACTACTATAATTGGATCTTCAGTGTGTGTTTATACTTGATCC